TAATTTACAATTCATATATGTCCGCTCTACTTTAAAGAAACAATTAAACAAACTTTGTGTTATGCTAGATGTAGTGAAGATTACGAGACAAAAATTTTAATTGTGGGCATTCCAAAATTGTAGTAGTGAGTGAGAAGTGTGAGTCAGTCAGTAACACAGAATTTCTGATTATACTCAAGAAAAAATACGTTTCTGTAACCGTAACATTCGTGTCGGACAATTAATGTATTACATCATAAACGAGTTTGATCAGTGGTAGAAATATAAAGACGGAACCTAAAAAATGTATCTGTTCACTGGGAAAAATACAAACTACTTCAACAAACGAATCACACTGCTGGGATACATAAAGTAGATAAAACTAGTCATCCGATTTGATCAGTGGTAGAAATATAAAGACGGAACCTAAAAAATGTATCTGTTCACTGGGAAAAATACAAACTACTTCAACAAACGAATCACACTGCTGGGATACATAAAGTAGATAAAACTAGTCATCCGATTAGGTTCTGCTAACGTAATGAGTGAAAACAAAAAATTAGTAAAAAGATTAGTTAGAATATCTGTTCACTGGGAAAAATACAAACTACTTCAACAAACGAATCACACTGCTGGGATACATAAAGTAGATAAAACTAGTCATCCGATTAGGTTCTGCTAACGTAATGAGTGAAAACAAAAAATTAGTAAAAAGATTAGTTAGAATTATTAGAAAAATGATGTCTACTAAAATTTTCTGTCAACAGACAAGGCTATAAACACACATTTCCATGTAATGTCCGTTGAACAAGTTGTAACACAATTGAAGACGCTTTACTAGAACCTAGCGCCCAGATACAGACGCGGCAAAGGGCAAAACTAACACTTGATCAAGAGCCAAGCTAGTTTTTACATATGAGACAGCGTTAGTCAATTACAAGGCACTGCATTTAGCGTCGAGACCTATTGATTATGACTGATTTGCTCTTGGTGAGTCAGGGAGGACAAGATACTGAGCTTGGCGAAGTCACAAGAGTTGTGCAAAGACCGGGGACAGTTGGTACAGGTTGCTCAAAATAAAACTTAACGAAAAAGTTTCACACATACATCTTTCATGCCTATATCCTACATCAATAATGTAATTTAATGCTATTTATCGACGATATTTCAGCTGCAGACTATACGCAGTCTATACATGGTGGAATATTAAAATACAATAGGAAATTATGGAAAGGAATAAAACACGTAATAGAACTAGTTGTGTCGAACATCAGATCAAATATAGCGTCGCTTTGCAATTTAAAAAAAAAAATTTTCCATATCTAAGACTTCAGGTCTGACCTAGAAGAAAATAGATTCAAGCAAACCACGGAAATGCCTATATCAGAAATGAATATTTTTAGCTACAAATGTTAAAAACACTGGGCATTTATCGTAACTATTTAGTATTTAGCGACAGAACTTATGTAGTAAATATATCGAGAGAAAAATATCAATAAATATGTACAGTAAAATGTGAAGGAAGCTGTTATGGAGCAGTAAAAGTGAAAATAATCGAATTCATCTGTAATGACTGAAAAACCTGAAAAAGGAAAGTCTGCTTACCCGTGACTGTGGTCATGACCGGTATTCGAACACTGTATCACCTAATGCAAACGGTACACTAATATCTATTAAGTATTAAATAATTACACAAAGTGTTTACGATAAACCGTAATACAACTGTCACTTACTTACTTTGATACTGGGAACGACCCGTTCTTCAAGGGCCTGAGCACTGCGAGTCCCAACACTCCTGTGGGCTTTGATCTATAGACATTTGGTAAGACTCCTTGGATGAGGGATCGGCCCGTCGAAAGGCCTCTACCTGTACACAGTACAGCACAACACAAAAAAACGCGGACAAACATCCATGGCTTGAGTGGGATTCGAACCCACGGTCCCAGTGACCAAAGGACACAAGGCCCACGTAATATAACTGTCACAGGGTAACATTTTCATCAGCACCTCTTATCAAAAAATGAGTTGATTTTGTTGTTTTTATAGAATGATACTCGACTCGTATCGGGAAATATTGTAGCTCTTGGCAGTTGGTCGAGAAGTTCCAGCAGGAAGCCGGGAAGTGACAGTTGCGTTTCGGTTTATTAGTGAACGCTATGGACAAAAGGTAAGCGACTGAAGTAAATGGGTTTCCACAACTGTCATCACAACGTAGGAAAATGACATCCAGGGTGAAAACGGGTTTTCCAAAATGCACTAATTTTATACATCGCAGGCAAAGAAACAACAAAGATCCTGAGTCATTTAAGTGACTACCCAGCCATGTCCTGAGTTTGTGCTGAACGTACAGGACGTACGTTTCTCTCGCGTAAATGGGCACGGAGCGTTTGTGGAATAAATACTGAAGATCACAGAGACGGAAAAATAAAATAACCCAAATAAAACCTACAGGGGTGCAATTTTACTTCTTCCATCACAAATCCTACATTCTTGGAATCAAACCCAGGTTTCCGCGGTCAGCAGATGTCTTTTGAGCACCTGACCAAGAGCCTCTCTTATAGTCAAGGACATCACAGAATATAATTTGCAAATATATGTACATAAAATGCGCCATATTCTTTGGGAAACTGGTATCATGGAAGCGGTAAGGTTACGCAAGCATCAGTCTCGACATACGGCATTGTTCGTTATCGGTTCCCATGACCGTGGGAGTTTGGCCGTGGTAAGGCACGCACGCACTCTGGTTATGTAACGGACGGAGTCCAGTAATCGTACAACGAATCATACGCCAACGTTATATCACAACCCACATTTTATTATGTTGTTTCGAAAAGTACTAAGCGGCGACTTGCTTGCAGATTGCTACAGTACTTTAAACAGATAGAAGAATTACTTTTGCCAGATACTGAATGTAACTGGGATTCACGGCGTTAGGTAACGATGGTAACAAATAAAAATTGCATTCAAGAAAATTATTAAGAGCAGATTAAATACAGGTATTCCTGTTAGCATGCAATTGAGAATCGTCTGCCTATCTCAAAATGAAACGATTAAAATATAGAAAACTGCAATGCTACCCGTTGTTTTGTATAGTTGTAAAACTTGTTCTCTCTCGTTAAGGAAAGAACACAGACCGAGGGTGTCAGAACGCGGTTCTGGAGAGTTTGTTTTGACCGAAGAGGGACGCAGTAACTCACAGAGGGGTGAAGAGCTTCGTAATTTATACTCTTCGGCAAGTATTAATAGGATATTCGAACTGAGGAGGAAAAGATGGACGGAGTATATAGTGCTCATGGAAAGGTAATAAATGCACAAACAATTCTGGCTGAAAACAGAATGAAAGGGATCAGTCATTTAACATTAAGACGGATCTTAGGGAAACAGGATAGGAGGATGTGGATTACATTCATCTGGCACATGATACGTACCAGTTAAGTGTCCTTCTGAACACAGTAATGAAGCCTTGGACTACATGAAATGTGGGGAATAAGCAGCTAAGCTTACTATTTGTAGAGGAATTACCGGAAGGCCAAAGAATATTAAATAACTGAGAGGTTTGTAATGTGCAGTCTTCACCAGATATTATTATGGACAATAAATAAAAGAGAATTAGAAGGGTGAGACGCGTGGAAGGAACGGGAGGGAACAGAAATGTAAATGTAAATATATATATGTCGTTCCACTCTGAAACCCTGAAGAAAATCAACATCTAGGGGGACATAGTCAAAAAGGGTCTAAGGAAAATGGGATCTGATAACGTGCACTGCTTCATCTAGCCGAGGAAGGCGACTAGTAGCGGGATCTTTAAACACTGTAATTAACTTTACGGTTCCACAAAATACGGAAATTCCCTGGCTGGTTGGATTAGTTCAGATGGTCTGTTTTCCTTGGTTAAAGAAAAATTAAGTTTCTAATTTCTGTGAGGTGCCATCTTATCGCTCGCGAGCTGTAATCAATTGTCCAAGTTGACCCGAAAAATCGGTAATGATGGGCGTCACATAGGTCTACTGCAAGAATGCCGCTACAAGATAATAAGGGAAATCTGGCGTTGCAGAAAAGCACTTGAGCTTAAGTAAAACATTAACTTAACCCGAAACTTCACCGCGTCAGAGACAGCCACGCCACTCATTTGATTCAATTACCTGTTTCTCAGAGCTCTATACCAGCTTTTCCTAATTAACTCAATACTGGGAATGACTTTGCGTTGAGTTTTCTGACAATTTTAAAAGAATTTCTCTTAAATTTCATCTTAAAAACCGACCACTAACACTTGAGACATTTCATCCAGTAACTGACCCAGCAGCCGATGTGGGTCATGTACATTCAAAATTTATCCACATATTCAAGTTCCACGTACATACACTGTTACCAATAAACAAACCACCTAAAAAAAACAACGTTAAGTTATGATAACACATTCAAGTTCCACGTATATACACTGTTATCAATAAACAAACCACCTAAAAAAACAACGTTAAGTTATGATAACACACGAACAACGGATCACATACATCGTTTCATTTAATATTATAAAACAAATAAACGTAAAGATTACTATCTTCTGGAATGATGTGGCTTGTAGTCATGTAGATTTTTTTGAGTCACCCCAATAACGTAGAGAGCTCCTCTTAAACGTCGGTCGAGATCTACCAGCCTACACAATGCAACATCCCAGAGGACAAACTGGTTACTTTGAATACCTATTAGACGTATCGCGGGGACAATCTCAATGTCTGGTTGTGTCTCTCATCAAATCAGTGAAAACAAGCAAACAAATCTACTATACATGACGTCTATGGAGTGGATATCAACACATATAAGTCATCGGCTATGAAATGTGGAATACGTGGTTCAAAAGCAGCCGAAATTACAAAATCCCGGACACAAATGGCAAGCAACAATGAGTCATTGCTGCAATGAAGAACGCCGGTGGTAAAATGGCCGATAGGTGGCCAGCGTCTCGCCGCTGTGTTCGCATTCACTCCACAGACTTCATAAATGAAGTATAGAACTGCACCGACCTTGATCGCCTTGCCTCCACTTCCACCACCACCACCACCACCGCCCCCGCCCCCTCCGACACCCCCGCCGCCGCCAGAATTGATAAACAGGGACTCCGTCCTCTTGGGCTGTCCCAGCGAGGGAATGATGTCCTGCCCCAGTGTCCTGTTGCGCAGAACGACGTCCTCGAATGGTCCTTGCTGAGCGGCAGACGAGTTGGTGGGAATGGTGTAGAGAGACGCGCCCACAATGGCCCCGTTGCCCGCGGATGGGGTATTACCGCGGGCCACAGAGGGGCCACGTACCGTGCGGTCCACAGACATCTCTCTACCACCCGGTGCAACGGGAGGTACAGCTTTGTCCACGGAGGACTGTCGCGACCCCAAGCCACCCAGTCGCGAGGCTGCGCGCTGATATCGGTCCACACTAGAGTCTCGGCTGGGTGGCCGCTTGTAGTGGTCGAAACGATCGTTCATTGACTGTTGGTAGCCGAACGCTGGCATTTCCTCGGGGACTGCTGCGGGCTACACAAAATAAAAATCACGCCTCATTCGTTTATAAATTTACTCAGATCACATTAATATGCAGGCAGCATGTCCTGCGTTTCTTAAAATGCAAACTAAAAATTTTTAAAACCAAAGAAGAGCTGTGAAATTGTGTCAAAGATAATATTTTTTACATTCCGAGTAATTTTTACTCGATCTGTTTTAATACTATCCTCTTGTATTCGTCTGTCTCGCAACTGATTTTTTCCTTTCATATTTCCGGATCAAAATACTGAATCGATTTATCATTTCCCTCAAACGTGCTATATGTCCAGTCCATCTCATCCTCCTTGATTTTTCATCCTAACAACATTTTGCGAAGAGTACAAATCATGAAGTTAAACACTTTGGAATTTTCTACAGCCACCTGTTACTTCCTCCATCTTAGGTCCAAATCTCCGCTTAATTCTTAATTTAGGTTTCCCTTTAATTACCTGAAAGACCAAATTTCACAAATATGCCTATATTTGTTTACGTGTTTTACAGAAGACCAAAAAACAAAAATATTCCGAGGAGAATGGTAGCAGGTATTACACGACTTTTTCGTGAATGTACTTTTGATTTTTACGATTGTTCCCAAATATTCTAACACAGTCACATTTTACAAGGATTATCCTGCAGTCTGGTTCCGAGACAGTTGTTTACATATTGCATCGATAGTTGCTTGTTTCCTGGGTGGTCTTTTCAATTTCGGCGTTGGGCGGAGAAGAAGAATGGCAAAATAGAATTTTAATCTTGCAAACCTAAAGGGGCCGGATCACTTGGGAGCACTGGACAAAAACTGAGAGAAATAGGGTATATTGGTTTCATCTAGTTCAGGATGGGGGCCATTGTCTCATCCCCCATGAATGCTGCATGTCTTGTCCATTTAATTTCTATTTAAACGTTCCAGGGTGAAGCCTACAAATCGCGAACCAACTTCGTTATTATGCGTTCTTTGCACGATGTCCGTCTGTCCAGCCAATTCAACTGAAGAACCACTGGACGGATTTAGATAAAATTTCATGTGGAAGTTGTGATATTCTGCACGACCTCAAAATCAAACGTGCGGTGATAACAAAACGACGGATGAGTAAAGTCGTGAGGTGTACGTTCTGGTGGCCAAAGTGGGAACTGTCGAACAATGCAGATTTAAGACCTCTAAATGCACGCTGCAAAAACGCGTGGGGATATTATGCGTATTCCGGCACGGAACACACTTTCCGTGCTTGTTGAAACAAACCTTGATCCTAGAGTTGCGTCTGAGTGAGATGTTGGAGCCCCCTGTGGGGGCTGCAGAGACGCCCAACGACGTGACGTTCGGGTTGTTGACCGAGGAGACCGGCGTGGGGCCCTCTTCATTCTGTGAAGGCAACTGTGGTGACTTAGGGGACCCTGCGGGAACCGCGTTGGGAACTCGGTTCGGTACTTGGTCCACCTTGTTCATGTACGGCTTGCCCGTGTCGGAGTCCGTGGTCACTATACTAGGCATATGCGCAGATTTGACAGACTGCGTGAACTGGGGTTGCTGCTGGTTGGGTTGGTACAACTGCTGGTTTTGTTGATAGCCTGGCTGGTTCTGTTGGTAGGGTTGCTGATTCTGCAAGTGGGACTGCTGGTTATGTTGGTAGGACTGTGGGTTCTGTTGATGGAGCGGTTGGTTTTGTTGGTAGGACTGTTGGTTTTGTTGGTAAGGCTGATGACTCTGCTGGTAAGGCTGTTGGTTTTGTTGGTAGGACTGCTGGTTTTGTTGAACGGGCTGCTGTACTGGTTGTTGCGTTTTCTGCTGCTGCAAGATCGACTGATCGTTGGCTTTTTGAAGAATTGACTTCGCAGGAAGTGCGTCATCCGGTGGAGGCCGGTATTTGATATGTTCTCTGGCACGAAATTTGTCCAACCCTGAATGCATAAGCACGCTACATGAAAATACGCT